AAAAAAACCAGTGTCCCTTGAGAGCCACAGTAAACTCCCTGCTTCTCTAAGCTGAACTGGGATGCACCTGTTCCTTAGTTCACAGCTGACCCCGCTACCTGGGAAGAATAGACTCCTGGGGAAGGTGCTGCCTCGCAGTTGAAGGTGAAATTGATGGAAATGTGTTTCTTTTCCTCCTAACTGGATCCCTTTTATCTTTAGTTTGTTTTATTTTCTATAAAGTTATGGTCATTGTAAACCTTTTGTCTTGGTTCTCACCTTCTCGCTCCTGCCCCAGATGCTCACAAACATCTGTCAAGCAGCAGCTGCCTTGCTCTGTCTGCAGCGTGACCTGCCTGCCCTCAGCTGTCCCTGCCTCTGCTGTTCTGTGGCTGGTGCTGTTGCCTCCGCTCTCAGCTGCCCCTGCTGCTACTTCCCAGTGTTACCAGTTCAGCCTGAACTGCTTAGAGAAGGCAAGAAAATACACTTCCCCCTCCCCACCCAGGGACGCCTTTTTCTGAGGACTGATGTTGCAGCGAGAGAGGGGGTCTCCCTGAAACTGGGTCACTGAGCCCAACCATCCATCCTTCCTGCACAGCTCAAGAAGGGGTGTTGGAACCAAATGCCACCAGTTGGTCAGTCACAGCCTTGACTTTGAGCACCAATCACAACTACTGAGGCTTGTGTTTTGGTCCAACCACAGCCTTGATGTCAGTCAGTGGTTATAGAAGTTCCTCTGCCAGACCACCAGGAAAGGTGCTACGCCTCCGGCCTAGCTGACGTGGCTGCAGAGCCCAATGAGACTGTGACAGCAGGTGGTTTGGATGAGAAAGCCCGCACGGGCTCATATATGGACATGGTGGGAGACATTTTCTCTTTGCGGCTCCCTTTTCCCAGTTGACTGTAGCTTGTGTCGCGTTGCCACGGAAGCAGGCATCACAGAGACTTTACTGTTTAGTTCCTGTGGTACTTTGAACGAGAATGGCCCCACAGGCTCATATGTTAGAATACTCGATCCGTACTTGGTGCTTGGGAAAGATTGGGAGGTGTGGCCTTGTTGGGGGAAGTCTGTCTCTGGAGGTGAACTTTGAGTTCTTGCCATTTCTTAGTTATCTCTGCCTCTCTACTTCATGGTTGTGGTTGTTGTCTCAACATGAAGGCTCTCAGCTACTGCTCTGACTCCATGCCTGTCTGTCTGCTGCCATTCTCCCCGCCCTGATGGTCATGGACTCAACCGCTGAAACTGTGGGAACCAAATAAGCTCTTTCTTCTATCATCTGCCTCCATCACAGAGTCGTTACACAGCAATAGAAAAGACACACGACAGAGAGTAAAGCCAGGTTGGTGGGGTCAATAGGGGATCTAGCTAATGACTTCTAATGCCCTGCTAGGCAGGGTTACAGTTTGGTCTCAGAGAAAATAAGAACGTCCCCGTGCTGGGGAAAGCCGAGTTAGACTTTTGGACGGTCTGAAAATGGAGCTAGAATGGAAGGCAATGTTGTACTTTCTGGCTTGTATCAGAAACAAGCAGGTAATCGGCGGGGTTCTGTAAGCAACTGCACGGAGGGAGGGAATCTTGTATTGAGTATCTCATCAACACCACTGATTCAGGATGTCACACAACTGGTTTGTCATGGTTAGGGTTTCCATTGCTGTGATAAAACACCATGACCAAAACTGAGTTGGGAAGGAAAAGATCTATTTGTCTTACAATTCTACAGCACCATTTATTGTCGAAAGTAGCCAGGGCAAGAACTCAAGCAGGGCAGGAACCTGGAGCAGGAGTTGATGCAGCCATGGGGGGGTGGGGGGGTGGAGAGAGGGGGTTACTGCTTCCTGGCTTGCTCACTATGACCTGCTCAGCCTGCTTTCTTATAGAACCCAGGACCACCAGCCCAGGGATGGCACCACCCACCATGGGCTGGGCCCTCCACATCAATTATTAATAAAGAAAATGTCCTGCAGATTTGCCTACAGCCTGATCTTAGGAAGGCATTGTCCTAATTGAGGTTCCCTTTTCTCAGAATACTTTAGTTTGTGTCAGGTTGGCATAAACTAACCAGCACATGATCCAACGGAGAAATTTCAGGAAGGTTCTATAGTTGGTTATACAACAAAATAAAGTTGTAAACAAAGGCGTTTTAAAAACCTTCGGTGGAAATATCATATAGGCAGATTGCAAAAACCCGGGAAAATCTCTTCCCTAATTTCCTAATGCTGTCTGATGCCATTCTTAGCTCCTGATTCGCTGATACTTATTGATTCATTAATACATTAGAAGATTTTCCCTGATGTCACAAGGCCGGCCTGGCCTCCTGAGGGCTCCATAATCTCCCTAAACAGCACCATCCTCTGGGCGCCAAGCGTTCGAACAAGCCAGAAGAGCCGGCGGTGGTGGCACACGCCTTTAATCCCAGCACTCGGGAGGAAGAGGCAGGCGGAGCTCTGTGAGTTCGAGGCCAGCCTGGTCTACAAGAGCTAGTTCCGGGACAGGCACCAAAGCTACAGAGAAGCCGTGTCTCGAACAAACAAACAACAACAACAACAACAACAAAAAAAACATGCCAGAAGATGGGGGTGCGTTTCTCATCCAAATCACCACAGGCTTCACTCATTCTCTGAAGGCCCCTCCCAAATGGCTGCTTGCCCACCACGCGGCTGACCTCCACGCTTGCTTAACCCACGGGGCGTGGCTTTTCCTCTTCTCTCTCTCCCTCCTCCCTGCTGCAGCTGAGAGCTCACCTGCTCTGAGATTTCTCGTTTAGGCTCTAATAAAACTGGCCTGGAGCTTCGGTTTGAGTCAGTCCTAATTCTTTTATTAGTGAGATGAAGGACCCCAGCAGGGGACCCCAAATTCCCTGATGACACGAACATTTATTTTTAATTTGGAATAGCTCATAAACCTCTTGGGAAACTATCAGTCTCACCATTTCTTTCCTTGGATGCCTTTAAATGGCACTGGAGACGTGTGGTGCATTTGTGGCCTTTGGTTCCACTGCCTAGGACTCATCATAGTTTGGAGCGAGGATACAAAAGGATTTGGACGTAGCAGATACTTCTCATTTTTATAAGTACTTGAAAGCTGAGTTGTTTCCAGAATTAGCAAATCTGAAAACAGCTATAGAGCACCAACTGGTGACTTACCCCAAACGCTACTTCCTTCCTGGAGTCTCTCCCGCTCTCTTGAAAACCCTTCTCTATGCTGGGTAGTGAGATTTGTGTTTGGGGTCAGGTTTGTGTGCCTATGGGAAAACTGTCCAGCACTCACCCCAGGGGCATTTCTTCTCGGGTGTCCCTGCCCGTTTACGGGAGAAACCAGTCTCACTTTATAACCGTGGACCCTAAAATGCCCAAGAACAAGAAAAGAAGCTCACAGCTCTAGAATGACAGTGTGTGACTTACGGGGTATTTGCAACAGAAGCTGGTTCTGCAGGGCAAGGGGAAGGGGAAGTCCTCCCTCAAACCTGGAGTAACCTGTTACTCGAAAGCTAAAGGAAACACACAATTCTTGGCAGTGGTTTCAGTCATGAAATCCCGCCGACTTCCATTACGATGTGTTCTTCACAGCAATCTGGCAGTCTGGGGGTGGGTGCGAGCCATCCGGGTTACTCGGCAAGTACTTCTATCACAAGTCACGCGGAACTCATTCATAACACTGTCTGAAGTAGCCATGGAAAATTTTATTTTTTAAAAAACTTGTAAACCAAGAAAAGCTGCACTGTTTGTAAAGAATTTCCTAAATCAAATGAGCAGTGGAGACGACTTGGGGAAGAAAAAAGTATCAATGTCCTTGAACAATTAATAGTAGGTGTCAATCATAAAAGTATCAAAGCTCTAAATGCACACTATTCACTTTGGTATCTTTTACTGTTATTAGCTGGGGGTATTTTAATTTTGAGGAATATTTAATGGTCTAGTCTCCAGATTTGGCAATTCTGGTATAACTCTGACATTTGATAGAGGGTGAGGGGTTTGTGGAGATAAGGGAACAGGCAACAGCTATAGACAGAGCCCCAACCTGTCACGAGCCATTTCCCCCCTAAAAATCATTACAGGAACCATCACCCTGGGAAGTCTGCAGAGAACCCCACACCCATAATTATGTTCTATTGAGAGAACCTGCCCCACACCCAATTAACTTATCTGTTAGCTGACGCGCCTCACATTCCAGCTATCCAGGGAACCAGGTGTGGAAACTTGTGACTTCTTGGCCTACCTCCTGGCCTACGTGACAAACCTGGCCTAAGTGACCTGGAACACGAGGCAAGAGTCCAGTTTCCCTACCCTTCAGGGGCTATATAAACAGCAACCATGATCCTAATAAACGGGGCTTTGACAAATCTGCTTAGCCTCATTCTTCTGTACTAGCTCATTCCCTTCCAGGTAGCGCCCCTTCGTGACCCTGGAATAACTGATTGCAGGGTGGGTTACAAACCCCTAGACTGAGTAACCCACCCAAACGCAATCAACACCGACCTGTCTCAGGACCAGACACAGAACCATGTGAGAGTTCTCATTGCACTATAGTTTATGATAAGCAAATAGGAATGACATTCCCATCAGCAGTGTGATAGCGTATAATAAAGAAATAAGAACAACAGATGGGAGAGGAGCAGCATACAATGCGTGTTGAGAAATAAAATGTATGCGATATTCCAGAGAGGCGTATTGTGCTATACTCCTGAAAAAGAATGGACAGTACCAGCAGAGAGCAAAGCCCCTCTCCCACAACAGCATGGACGGCCTGGCGAGTGTGCAGCGTTTCAGGTAAATATTTAAAGAGGTCTGTAAGAAGGTTCCGCAGATAAAGAGGCTGCCTGTGGGAGCCTGGCAGTCTGAGTTCAGTCCCCAGAACACACAAAGGTAGAGTGAAGAACTCCACAAAGTTACCTCTGACACCATTTGTGCATCTAGACAGGCACATGCCATGCCATGTGTTTCCCTCCCATCGTACACACAACAACAGCAAATTAAAGGATGCTTTAAAAAACTGGGAACAAGGAAAATTCCCTCCGGAGACAGCCAAATGTCTTCTGTATTGGCCAGAATAAAGACCAGAATATCTTTTTTAATTGGCATGGTGATATGTTACAACTGATGAATGAATAAATATTTGTAATGGTTTTTTTAATTAAAAAAAACTCCTTACCATAACTACTAATGTTAAACATAATCAAAATATGCCACAATAATTTTATTCATAATGATATTTGTCCCCAAACATAAATATATGCTCAAAAAGTATGAACAAATGGTTACAAGCACAAATTTTAACAGTCTGGAAAATTAGGTGTTAGTTAAAAGTACAATTAGAAACATTAGGATGTATTAATGCAATGGGATACTGCTTAACACAAAGAAGAACCCACTCGTGCATTAGATAACAACATAAACGATCTCAAAAAATAATGTTCAATACAAGAAGTGAGATGCAGCGGAATACAACTTATTATGTATATAATACTGTGTTCTGACTACGTGCTTGCCTGCAGGCTGAAAGACAGTACCAAATCTTATGGCTGATGGGAGCCACTCTGTGTTCTCATTTCTGATGGGAGCCACTCTATGGTTGCTGGGAATTCAACTCAGAACCTCTGGAAGGGCAGTCAATGCTCCTAACTGCTGAGCTATTTTTCCAAACACTGTGGAATACATTTTAAACAGTTTAATTCTTGTACCATTCAAAACCAGACATTTAAGCATATCTTGAGAACACAGCACATGAAAACTAAAAGCAATCCCTGCTATAAAAACAGTGGCTTGCTTAGTTAAGTGTATCCCCCAAGAACACTGGAGCACTTACTCAAGGAAAACTGAGACTCAGGACAGTTCCAAACGGAGTCCTCTCTTCCAACCAAAGCCACCAGTGTTTGTTTCTTCAGGTCGTGGCTTGACAAGCTTTTATCTTACCCAATACGATGAAAGGGAAGTCTGAATCAACCCTCGTCTTTTTCTGTTGTTCCAGCCTAAAGACTGCCCAACAGGCCCTAACAAGAAACAGCAGGTCACAAAAGAAGAGGAGGTGCTGGAGTTTGGGGGAACTGCTGCCTATTCCCAGAAGAAACCCCCGAGTGCTGGTCAGGTTTGTCAGCGTGACCCAAGCTGGAAGAGGGAACCTCAGCTGAGAAGTGGCGTTCCTCAGTTTAGCCTGTGTGCAAGCCCATGGCGGCATTTTCTTGACTGATGATCGGTGGAAGGGCCCATCCCTCTGTGGGCTGTGCCACCCCTGGGTGGGTGGTCCTGAGGTAACTATGAAAGCATTGTCACAGGTCATGAAGATCAACCCAGTAAGCAGGGTTCCGCTGTGGTTTCTGCTTCAGTTCTTGCCTCAGTTTCCTTTCCTGCTGTTACACCCCAAGCTGGTTTTGGTCATGGTCACAGCAATGAGTGTGACTAGGACAAAGAGTAGTATCACAGCCCCGCACCAGCCTTTGCCAGTCCTGTCCTGCCCAGTCCCGGCCCCCTTTACTTGGCTGTTCTGTGAACAGAGCTCCCTTTTTCTACCCTTTGGCCCCTGCAGCTTTTTCTACCCCAGCTCTGTCTCTGGTCCTTCCCAGAGGCAGCTGAAGGCGCCCTTTGCTTGGTCATGGAAAAACCAAAGAGTTAGGTTGCCTGGGTCAGTTGCCAGACAGGGAAACTAGGATTTTTTTTTTTTTCCTTCCTCAGTCTTTCTACAACCCCCACTTGCTAATCCAGATAATTCTCAGGAGATATCCAAGAAGATTTTACTCCACACAGCTTCGCCCCACCAATCACATGACACTACACAGCTGAACCACTGCCAGCCCTGGAACCATCCTCCAGCAACAGAAGCACCAAGGATGCTGGTGTCCTGCTTGCTGGCAGCCTGCGACATTTCAGACCTTAGGGAAAGAGCCAGAGCAGTAGCCCAACTCAGTCTTGACGCTTTGGGAGGACTTCTGTCAGAGAGCAGACAAGCATATTGGCTGCCATTAACAAGAAGGGTTGTCCCCCTCATCCGGAATGTGTACCTGGGCTTGCCCCAGGTGTCTGGGGAGAGATCCCTTAGGTCCTTATTGAATAGTGGGAGACAGATCAGCACAAGAGCCTAGGGTAAGAGAAAAGGTATTGGAAATGCTGTTCCTAGAGGCTTAAGGTGAGGATGGGGGTGGGGGTGAGATGTCAACTATTTTTAAAAGGGCTGGAGGAAGACAAAGAGAAGAGGAGGAAGAGGATAAAGAGGAAGGGAGGAGGTGCGGACGTTAGGAAAGGTGGTGACACTTGGGGTGACAACAGCAAGAGCGGCGAAAGCAGGGGGAGGAAGAAAACGCACCGAGTCCAATGAAAATGAACGAGGTCATCGTGCTAAGTGAACAGAGCAGTCACAGAACACAGATCCGTGGGTCACACGCAGGGTGTGTGGGATGCTGGGTGTTCGCTGCACTGCGAGCCCCACGCTGCGAGCCCTGAAGTTGATGTCAAGAACGCCAAGCAGAAGCGAGATGGCCCAGAGCAGCGGGAGAGTGCGGCTCAGGGTCTCTGAGTGTGAGCGCTGCGGGTGGTGCTGGTTAGAAGCTGGCTTTCATACAGGTTAACTGAGTTGATTAAATTGCTTAAAGTCAACTGAGTTAAAAGAAATTGTCTGTAAAAAATATTTCAATTTAATGAAGGGAGACGAAACTCTTTTTTATTTAGTTTTTCTTTCTTTAAAATTACTTTTAATTTTGTGCGGAGTAAGACAAAAAAGGTACCTGGAGGGACAGCCGTGGGTGCTGGGAACCGAACTCTTATATTTTTGGTTGTGAGCCTAGCCTTTAACGGCTGAGCCATCCCTCCAGGCCGCCAGCAGCCGTGAATCTGGACCTGATGTAGGTAGTAGGCGTGGCTCAACACCACCGCCATTTTAGTCTCAAATAACTTCATTCTATGAAGTTTTGCTAAAACACATACCAACAAAAACCGGACTCTTTGCAGCGATCGTTTCTGATCTGGACGACCGCTGCTTGCTGCTTCGTGCATGCAGCGCTAGCGAAATGGAGCCTAAGAGTCGAGAGGGCTGAGGACACGGATTGGAGTGAAGGGGTCGTGTCAGGAGAGGAGTGAGGACACGAGGGATGGGCGTGTGCAACTTTGCGTGGGCTAGAGCTTGTAAAGTGCACTGATGCCTGAAAGGCTGGAGGAGTTGGTTGGTGAAAACGGGGTGCAGGCGCGGGTGTGAGGGGCCGGAGTGGGAACAGAGTGAGGCTCAGAATTGTGGCAGTTGTAGGGATGTTTGGGATGATGTGTGCCCGTGAACTTGTTTTCGTGTTGAAGTTAGAAAAAAAGTGCAATCAAGAGAAAAAAAAAAAAAAAAGAAAATTAGGGGGAGCGGTTTAAAAAAGTGTATGTAGTCCAGGCTGGCCTCGAACTCCAGATCCACCTGCCTCTGCCTCCTTCAGCAAATCCTACCGGCCTGCGCCACCAGAGCCGGCGAAGGTCTGAGCTATCAGAATACTAGTTAGCATTGAGTTACAATGACGTCACCGCCTTCGCAACACTGTGGAAAGAATGTAGAGTGAATACGACCGGGTTCGCCTTCTCCTCCAAACCGCACTGTCAGCCAGGTCCAAGCGCGTTTTCCGCCGGGCTCAGGCACACTCCCCTCACTCCAGGGAACCCCAACCTCAGGAGCCCCGAACGCCCTTCCCGCTACGCGCCCCCTGCTGGCCACCCCGGCAAACACACTCCCGCACCTCCCGGCGTGGATTCGTCTAAACTGAGTCTTCTTCCAGTTGCGCGTTTTTTCTTGTGCAATGCTAGTGCCATTTTCTAGGCAACCAGACACGATTGATCCAAGTAAAGGAACTGCAGCATTAGACCTCGAGTGTGCCGGTGAGGTGCAGGGTCAGGGAAGTGTGATAAAAGTCTCAGGGTGCCTGTGACCTTGTGCACATAACGCGGAACTCCAAAGTTTCTTTACTTATTTCCTATGTGTCCTCACCTCTCTTGCCCAGCCTAGAAGAGATGTTTGCTTTTCACATGGGTGTGGTGAAGATGAACCAGAAACTTCCAAGCTCCTTCATGGAGATCTAGAAACCAGGAGCTTTCCTCACTGCGATTTTATTTTAATACTCGTGATGATAAGCCATATTGTACAACATTTCCCGTGCTCCTTGGCTACCTTTATGCTGTTGTGATGCTCAACCTTGATAGTCAGCTTGTTTGAATTAAGAAACACCTAGGAAATTAGTGGAGCAAGTCTCTGTGCGTGTCTGTGAGGACGTGTCCGGCGAACGTTAGCAGCGCTTCATGGTTTTAAGGGAATGTATGATCAATCCTGGGAATATTCAACAGATAATGGCATTTTTGAGAGCCGGTCACAGCTAAGAGACTGTGGCCTGACAGTCAGTAGCTCACGGAGATCCCATCCTAAGATAAGCACTACACCCTGGGCCTTCTCTGTATACCCCGTTCATTTGCTTCCTCCTGAGATTCTCCTCCTACCTCTTTAACTGTAACCCATAAATTTGGGCTTCATGGTGTCCCCAGATTCTTACCTATTGTTTTCTTTGCTTGAGTGTTCCAGTTGCTCTATTGTATCTCCGAGTCTTGACGTTCTATCTTCTTCTTGACCCATTCTCCTAGGAAGGCTTTCCATTGAGTCTTCTCAACGTGAGGTAGACTCACTTGAAACCCAGGGCAACAAAACCCAGAAAGCAGCCACAGGGCAGAGCAATGCCCTGTGTACAGAAACCTTGATACATCTCTCCAGAAGTCCCGTCTTTGCTTAGTAAGCTTTCTAGGAGGCCGTGAAGGAAGAACAAAGAGACCACCATTTCGTTTTGTCTCCTCCGAAGTGCTACGTGAGACCTTGGAATACTCCCCAAGCTGACCTCCTTTCCTTGAGGTGAAAGCCATTTAAACCCACCCTAGGAGTTTAAAGTAGCCATTGAAGTCTGTTACCAAACAGATCTCTCTGGTTAGGTTCTGGTCAGGCTCTCTCCACTGGAAATTGAATGCTCACACATATAGAAGCTGTTTGCCTGAAAGTGTCCGGTGCCCTGTTCTCTGAGTGTTCCTAACAAATGGGATTTTTTTTTTTTCAATTCCGTCTCCATTTCAGCCTGAGTTTCCTTCAGTATTTATGCCTCTTTATTGAGTGCAACTTTCTATCCCTGCGCTGCTCATTATTCCATTCAGCCACTTACTTGTCTTCTCCTGGACTTCAGTTGGGATTTTATTCCTGTCCTCTTCCAGGGCATTCAAGAGGTTGTGACCTCCTCAAACGCAGTCACTTCCTTGCTTCCGTTTATAACTATTCTTTTAAATCCTTAGTCCTGCGAGTCATCTAGAACATTCTGCAGGACCAGGTCTTAGTTTGCCTTCTATAGCTGTGATAACGACCATGACCAAAAGCAGCTGCTTGCGGAGGAAGTGGTTTAGCAACCTCGCGTGTCCACCATGAAGGCAAGGTAGGCAGGAAGATCTCAAGGCAGGAACCTAGAGGCAGGGGGGGAAGCAGGGACCATGGAGGAATGCTGCTGACTGGCTTGCTGTTTATTGCTTCTTCCTTTGCTTTTAAGTAACCCAGGACCACCTGCCCACAGGTGGCACCCACCCTTGGTGTGCTGGGCCCTCCTATGTCAATCATTAGCAAAGAGAATGTCGCATAGACTTTCCTGCCAGTCCAGTCTTATGGAGATATTTTCTCAATCCCTCTTCCCAGAAGACTCCTACTTTCCAATGTTTCACAAAAACTAGCCAGCACACACGGGGTTACTACTGTTGTAAGTTGTTTTCCCAGGTGCCTTTTTGGACAGGTTGGTTGGTGCAGCCCAAAATTAACCCCAGGATAGAGTGAATTTTACCTAAGAGGAAAGAAGAAGTGGGAAGACGAGGGAAGAAGCAAGGGTGAGAGGAAGATCATATGGCAAAACCGGAAGCTAGAGTCAAGACTGGAGCCAGGAAAGACTTCCTACCCGGCCTCTTCTTTAACATCCTGCCCCTTCAGTATTAGCACTGAGGACCAAATATTCAGACAGACATGCCAACCTTTTCACACGGCAACAGGATGCTGCCATCCACAAAGTTCACTCTTGAGAACTACACACCTGAGTCAAAACAAAACAAAACTCAAACACAAAATATCTCAGCATGTTTGTAGTAAGTTTTCGATTCTGTGGACAGAGGGCTGCATTCATTCCGAGCTGTCTCAGGGCTCGCTGTGGCCCGTGGGGTGTGCATGCAGGATTGTAAGTAGGTGTTCCTGGGTTCACGATGATGGCAGCTGGACCTATCACCATCTGTTTTCTGGGGGGCAGCTTAATACCTTGTGGGAGTGGTCTTGAGCATCTCTGGGGGAGGGATTATCATTTGGGCGGCTTTCTGAGATGCAGCAGGGTTTGGAGAGAGCCAAGGGTGGGGTGGGGTGGGGGCTTGGGGTGGAGCTTCTTCCCAAACATTCCAGACTCTTTGGGTATATGGATGCCAGGGGCTGGGGTGAAACATCCACCTGAACAGTTGTGTTTGACATTTTTAAGCATTATATACACATTGTCATAAAGTATACCTGTTTTTCGTATGTGTTTGTCACTTAAAATCTACGTACCAGTATTAAAGTAGCCAGTGCTGTTGTGTGTGCTGGAAACGTTGTATGACTGCATTTTTTTCCTTACTGTCCTTTCTCTTTGATCTGGAGACCTCTGGATTGTCTTTTGTGCAGCAGGTCCAGTGCTAATATACTCCTTCGTCTTTTGAATATAAGGGAAGGTCTCAGTTTCTTCTTCATTTTTGCAGAATAATTTTGCTGACTGCAATATTTTCAGGTGGAATGAATTTTCCACACGTCGTCTGTATAAAACCATTTGCTGCAGTTACAAAATACTGAGACCAGAATATCTGTAAAGAAAAGTGACTTATCATTTTTCTTTCACTTTTTATTAGAAGGCAGTAGGTGTACAGCCAAACGATTTTCCTTGTGACATGTTCACGCGTGTCTGTACCATGCTCTGATCCACTGACACCCTGTCACCTTCAACAGTCTCCCCTCTTTTTCTCCCGCCAAGTTCTCCTACACAAACATTCCATCTTTTGCTTTCATGAAAAGAAGTTTGTTTT